GTGCGCCAAGTAGGAAGAGGAGCGCACAGGAGACAACCGTTTGATTGCAGACTGTTAATGTTTATGTGGGGAAATGGTGGTGCATACATTATTTGAGATATATTTCAAACTCGGACTTCATTTTAAGGACATGTCGGCCAGGGGTGTAGAGCTATTTGTTTAAAGCACCGGATTGGCAAAACAGAAGAGTAAACCAGTCTGCCTTGATCTATGAATTAATGTCCGGGACTCTCAACGATCTGCTGCCCGCAGCTGCTTTATAGAAGGAAACCCTCCTTCACTTCTTAAAACGGCTGCAGCATCCGGAGGCAGCGGCACGTATACTCCCGCTTCTGAGAAGTGCAGCAACCAGTATGACTGTGTTTAACTTCATCAGAACAGCTTAAGAGTGACTGCAGGCTGCTACGTGTTAACCACACCACACCTATACACACCATCTACACACATCGAACTGCCCGATTACTCCCCCTTTTATTAGTTTTAATGAAGGAGATGTCCAGTCAGTCACCAAGGCGCATGATGTGTGTGTGTATGTGCTCTGCTCAGCTCAGCTCTGTGTGTTCGGTGTGTTTGTGTCTGTCCGACACCGGCATTTGTTTTCAAATGTTTATGAACAGTAATTTACACACATATGGCTAACTCCATATATGCGGCTGTTCCCAAAATAAATTAGTTTAATCTTAATCTCGATGTAGTGCTAATGCTGTCGGAGTGCACCGGAACGAACGACACTATCATAATATCTTCTGAAAACAAATGCCAGTGTTCATAATGCGGCTTCTCCTCGTTTTCCCAGCATTCAATGGATTATCCGTAAATCATACAAACAAAAACCAAAACGTTAATTTATCTGTTTTCCCGTTTTGGTTTAAAAACTGAATAACGTCGGTTTTTTTGGTTTTCCGAAAAACCAAAAAATGACACCGGTTCTTTTTAAACTTTGTTAATATGTTTTGGATGCATATTGTTCTAGTATTTGTTCAGGCTGTTACATACAATAGCCTCTGTTGCTACCTGCTGGTGGTGAGTAAATATTAAAATCAGTTAAAATTGACAACCGGTCCGCGATTTTTTTTTAATGTATCTGCCGGTCCTTGGCACAATAAAGGTTGGGAACCCCTGACTTAAAGGACAATCATTGATCAAGTAAGGGGTGGGAATTAATAAGCTTTGCTTCCTCCTGCTCCCTTTCGGACACATGTGATTTTTTTAAATTATTATTATTATTATGAAGACTTTTTTTTTGTTGAATATATAAATATTATCGTGAATGTGGATAAATACAATACGGTATTCTGTTTTTCACATTTGTTATTTATTATTTTTTTAATCTGTTCGAAATAAAGATTGAAATGAAATGAAATGAAATACTCAGTACTGAGGACAACCCCCTCAGGAGCACTTTGAAGTGTCTCAGGGACACAACGACATGCTGACTGCAGTGGGGTTTGAACCTGTGCTCTCTTGATCCGAACACCAACGCACTACCCACTGCGCCATACGCCTCCTAATAAATAACAAACATACTTCATATATAAAAAATCTAGCTGCTGCTTTTGATGAAAAGTTTCAAGGACTGATTATAAAGAGTGATTTATTAAAGCAACAGTCTTGTGTTATTTATATATATATATTTATATATATATATATATATATATATTTATATATATATATATATATATTTATATATATATATATATTTTCCCTCAATACAGCCAGACTATATATTTTCACGTTTTAACAAGTCTTCCTAAAACAGCTGGTCTTTGTTGTTGTTATTTAATGAGGGATGAAGTGATTTGTTGTGGACTACTTTCAGCAGCGTATTAATCCACATTTGGCGCTCTGGTGAGTATTTGGGGCAGCTGGATGATGTGGGAATGAACTTCATTGTGTTCATGGTTATGAAGGAATACGTCACCAAGAGTTTGTTATTAACGTGTGTGAAATAGTTTGTTGATAACAATGCAGCGCTATGAGAGGTAGAAGATAAAAGGCTTTGACACACACACTTAGTAGATAGACAAATACCGTATTTTCAGTTTTCTTTACCCGTCTGGCTGGCCCTGCGACTTATACTCCGAAGCGACTTATATATTGTATTTTGTCTGACTGCGTTCAAACTACGGCCAAGAGATGGCAGTGTATACAATCAGGACAACTGAAAACTGCTGTACCAGCGAAGAAGAAAAAAGTCACGGCAACCGGGAGGATGCGTCATGTAACTCTCCAGGATGTTGTGGGATGGATGGACACAGCATGGGCTTCAGTGCCGACCGACACCATCCTGTCGGGATTCAGAAAGGTCTAATCGGAGCTGATTCTGATGGAGAGTCTGAGGACAGCCCGGAGCAGGACACGCTGCTTCATCCACACCTCTGTGTCGCTGTGAAACACTTCCACCGGAGTTGGCGGAAGTGTTTCAACAGCGACACAGAGGATGGAGACTTCAGTGGATAAATGCGACTTATACACCGAAGTGACTTATATGTCTTTTTTCTCTTAAAGGTAGGGTAGGTAAGAATGGAGAAAGCAGCTCGAGTGCGCTAGAATTTGAAAGTACACAACCGAAAAGAATCTGCCCCTTCCTTCAGACTTCCTCACAGAGCCCCTCCTCCAACACACACGAACGCGCACATGACCAATGAGGGCACCAGATAAGTTTGTGCACAGGTGGAAGGCTGACAGGCAGGTAGGCCATCCAGTTATCTGCCGCGGGCCGGGGCTTTTTACAGCGCCACGGCTTCCACAGATGACATTTTTGTATATAATTATTGTCAAAGCATTTCATTTATTCATTGCTATTGGGATGTTAAGAGCATTCCATGGAATATAACAAAAAGTGTTTCTGAAATGAATTAGGCTGTGGCTCAGTGGCTAGTGCGCTGAACTTCAAATCAGGGGGTAGGAAGTTCGAGTCCCACTGCAGTCAGCATGTCGTTGTGTCCCTGAGACTCTTCACCCCAAAGTGCTCCTGTGGGGGTTGTCCTCAGTACTGAATGTATGTAAGTCGCTTTGGATAAAAGCGTCTAACAAGTTAAATGTAATGTCAAATGAACTACCCCACCTTTAACAACACATTTTTTGATAAGAGCGACTTACACACAGGTTTGACTTATAGTCCAGAAAATATGGTAGATACTGTTGGTTGGAGTCCGAACATGAGCCTTGAGAGAACAGTTTGACCGACCTGTCTGATGCCGAGTCTGTAGGCCAGGATCCGGTCCACGGCGCCGGGCTCCATCTGGGTCCACTGCAGCTTGAAGCCGTAGACCCGAGGCCGGTTCTGCCACAGAGCGCTGTACGTGTCGTAGTAAAACTCCGGAGCGTGGGCCTTCCCTGAGGAGACACAGGGCAGGGAGCAGAGAGAGAACTCAACTACGATTCCCAAGGTGCATTTCACTAACAAACACCCAATCGCAGAGATGCACACGAAGCATTACGCTGAAGCAACCAGAAGCATGATCAAACAGTTTGAATGTGTCACGGTCTCATTCAGGTGGTCTGACATCGACTCAGTCAGAGAACACAACGGAGAAGCAGAAGAAGCTAGGAAGAAGAAGGGTGTGTTAATATTAGAGGCAGCAGGATTATGCAGCTTAAGTTAATATGACAGTAAACTGTGTGTGTGTGTGTGTGTGTGTGTGTGTGTGTGTGTGTGTGTGTGTGTGTGTGTGTGTGTGTGTGTGTGTGTGTGTGTGTGTCAGTCCACTTGTGTGTGTTCCTGCTGATGTGCAGTTTGGAGGATTAAACCACCAAAGAAGAAATACTCACCTGACTGGACGAAACCTCCAACATGGCCGACCTGATAACACAGAGCTGAGTCCTGATTGGCTGACTCAGCTGCATCCACAGGGATACATTTTCCCTTTAAACTTCATTTCAGTAGTTTGACTAAATAACCCTTCCTCAGAGTCCTGGCTCTCCTTCCAGGCTGCGGGACAGAGTTCACTCAGACGTCATGAGAGCTGAAGCTTCATGAAAAACTAACTTAAACCCCGAGTATTCAGGACCAGATATTGGATGCAGAGCTAAACATACTAACATTTTAATTAAACCAGAACTAAAACACAAGAGAATATTGCACACATATTACACCAACTCAAAACAGCAGGAAATGCAACTAAATATTGAACCAAACCGAAATAAATACATAGAATATTGGAATTAAGTTTGAACGAAGCCAGAGCTATAACAACAGAGAATAATGGAACTCAAACACACGACACTATTGCACCAAGAAAGACGCAACCAGAGACAAAACACGAGAGCTATATACTGACAAATACTGGACCAAGCCAAAGAAGAAAATCCCAAATACATTGGACCAAATCAGAGCTAAAACACCAGGGAATTTTGGATCAATATATTGATTAAACCACCAGAGAATATTGGACTAAATGTTATACCAAATTAAAACTAAAGAAACGGAGCTTTGGACCAAATATATCGATATTCAGGAACAAATATTGGACAAATCCGACCTCAACCTTCAGAGAGAATGAGACCATAGAACTACAAAACAAACACTGGAAATAACCAAGCTAAAGAAAACATAGAATATTGGACTAGGTATTGAACCAAATCAGAGCTAAAACACCGGGGGATAATGGCCTTAATATCTGAATAAAACATAGATTAAACAACGGGACAATATTGGACCAACGTAGATAAAAAAGAGAGTATTTGATATAAAATGGACCAAACCAGAACAAAAGGGGCGGGGTGGCGCAGTGGGCGGGGTGGCGCAGTGGGCTGGGTGGCGCAGTGGGCTGAGTGGCGCAGTGGGCTGAGTGGCGCAGTGGGCTATGTGTTGATCATCAGATCAAGGGGGTGTTGGGGAACACCAGTTCGATACCTGCCTCCGCCGTCACTGCGTCAGGCCGTTGAGTCCTTGGGAAAGACACTCCACCTGAATTTGCTCCTGTGGGTATTGTCCACAGTCCATGACCGTTACATGTCTGATACAGTGTGTCTGTAAAGCGCTTTGAGCTCTGGAAAAGCACTTTAATAAATGTAATTAATTGAATTGAATTGAAAAACACAAGAGAATTCAGAACAAACACTGGACCCAACGAAGCAAAACAAAACAACAAATAATATTGGACCAAACCAGTTAAACCACAACAGAATATTGGAATATTAGACACACTAACAACTATACATGTAACACCAGAGATGTTTTAACAGAGCATGCTGCCGTCTCATTGGCTGCTGCAGGATGAGCGAGGTTTAAAATACCACCGGCGTGTTCACACCTGATTAACAACACAAACTTCACTTCAGCAACGACAAGCCCGACATAATCGCCGTTATTTTCCATCAGCTCTCCATCCTGCGCTCACAGCGTCCCCTCTCTAACCGCTGTCTGCTGCTTTCTGCAGAACGTGCTGCTCGTCGGCGGTCGGCGTGATAAGAGGCTTAACGCCAGCGAGTTTACAGGACGAGTCTCTGCAGGCGAGCTTTCATCAGAGGAGGCGACTTCCTGTGAGACGTCTGGGGTCCACAGAGCGGCGCTTAGTTAAAGACAGCAGGAAGTTCAGAGGCTTCTCCACATTTACGTTAGAGATATAAAGAGTATATTTCTGAGTTGTTTGACCCCATAATGATTCTGACCAAAGGCAGCGTTTTTGAGGCCAGACGATAATTATCCAAAAACTCTTTTATTTCTCCCCAACTGCTGCTGAAGTGATCATTTGGTCCTGGTTTTCAGATGTAATGCTTTGTCAGACTTAGTTAAATATGTGATAACATGTATTTGATCCATGCAAGGTTTCAAAACTACAGAGCCGTCATATATATATTAGACCAATCCAAGACAAACCATCAGGGAATATTTGACTTCATATTTGATCAAACCATAAAAATATCTTTCCAAGAAGCATCAGATGCATTCTTTGGTCCTCAAATAAGTTCTAACGACAGCTATTGACCGACAGATGCTTCAAAGTTCATATGAAGGCAATCAAAAGTGTTGACTTCAGAGACACCGAAAGTTAACGCTATTTTTCTTTCTAGTTGCTAACAACGAAACTATTAAAAACTAACTCAGTAAACAAAGTCTAGCTTTGAGCTGTGCAGGTGATGACTGGCTTTGTTTACAGCGGTTAAGGAATACAACCTTGTACACCTGACTCCACCGGCTTTGATTGAGATGCTTCTGATACCAGCCTTCGTACAGACTCGCTGCCTTCAACACTTCCCATCGGAGCCGAGCTGCAGCCTGAGGAAGCAAATGAGACCACCTGGGGATTCTTCAGATCAGTTCATGTTCCAGAGAGCAGACTCCTGACCAAGAGGCTCTCTGCAGGACTTGGTTTTGATTGAAATATTTCATGGTCTCCAGTATATTTGTTTTTACTGTAAAAATGTTTTTGGAAGTCATCAGCTTAATGTAGGCTGCACTGTAGCTTTACATGTCCTTTTACTTCCACTCAATACTGACATATTCTGCACTCTAGTGACTAAAGGCTTCTCCTGATGCCCGGAAATCTAAACCTAAATAAAACCCAGCTCATTAGTGATTTCTATTTCCTGATTTCCTTGGAGAAAAGGCAACGTGTGTACACACCTGATATGTATTGTACTGTACACACCTGATATGTATTGTACTGTACACACCTGATATGTATTGTACTGAACACACCTGATATGTATTGTACTGAACACACCTGATATGTATTGTACTGTACACACCTGATATGTATTGTACTGTACACACCTGATATGTATTGAACTGTACACACCTGATATGTATTGTACTGTACACACCTGATATGTATTGTACTGTACACACCTGATATGTATTGTACTGAACACACCTGATATGTATTGTACTGTACACACCTGATATGTATTGTACTGTACACACCTGATATGTATTGTACTGTACACACCTGATATGTATTGTACTGTACACACCTGATATGTATTGTACTGTACACACCTGATATGTATTGTACTGTACACACCTGATATGTATTGTACTGAACACACCTGATGTGTATTGTACTGAACACACCTGATATGTATTGTACTGAACACACCTGATATGTATTGTACTGAACACACCTGATGTGTATGGCTAAATGTTGACTGTGTTGGATCAGGTTTCTGCAGCAAGGAAATCAAATCAATCTAAATACAGATAGAAGATTAAATTCAAAAACACGGTATGTTCCTTGAGATAATGCAGAAAGGTCACAGGTCAACACAACAGATCAAAGTTGTAAACACACAAAGTCTGAATACATGAAAGTCTGTTATCTGTTAGCCTTACACAGCAGAGAGGCAGCAGGTATTGAAGACAGGACGTGTTCTAATCGTCTGAAGTGTTTGTTGTCAGTTCAGATGTTTCAGAGGATGTGAGCGTTTCCTGGAGCGCTGCGCATTATTATTTATGACACTTAAAAAACTCCCCTGAGGAAACTCTCTCGCTTCAGTCTGCCAACACACAGGATTTAAAGATGAAGATAAACTCTAATTAATCATCGTGTTCTCGTCCTGGAGATGTTAGCACTTTGAAAGCAGCTTTAAAGTTCCCAGCAGACCTGAGGCCTGTTAGCAGAGTCGCATCAACAATACTGTGTGTTCACCGGAGACACAACTTTCAAGAAACTCAAGACAATTCCATGTCAAGCCTCAGGAAACCCGGATAAGTCTGTGTCAAGTTTCAAGGAACTTAGAACAAGGGCATGCCACGTCTCGAGGAGCTTCACACACGTCCATTTCAAGTCCTAAGTAGAAAGAGTCCATGTCATGACGCAAAATAGTCGAGACAAGTCCATGTTAAATCCAAGGAAATTGAAGGTAAGTCGATGCCAAGTACCAAGTAACTAGGAACAAGTCCATGTTGAGTCTCAAGCAACTCCAGACAACTCTCAAGTCATTCAACAAAAGTCCATCTCTCAAGTAACCTGAGACGAGTCCATGTCAAGTCTCAAGTAACCTGAGACGAGTCCATGTCAAGTCTCAAGTAACCTGAGACGAGTCCATGTCAAGTCTCAAGTAACCTGAGACGAGTCCATGTCAAGTCTCAAGTAACCTGAGACGAGTCCATGTCAAGTCTCAAGTAACCTGAGACGAGTCCATGTCAAGTCTCAAGTAACTTGAGAGAAGTTCATGCCAAGTCTAGTCTGAGACAAGTTAAGTTTCAAGTCTTTATATACTGATTCAAATGAAGTCATTCGAGCCACGTCCCCGTCAAGTCTCAAGTCACTCAAGACACGTCAAGTCTTTCCTGAAACAAGTTCAATTTACTGTAAGTCCAAAGTCATTCAAGTCCAAATAAAGTGTCTCTAGCCATTCAAGATGTCAAGTCAAGTATTGTCCGAGACCTGTATGAGTTAAGTCACAAGTCATTAAAGACAGTTTCAAGTCAAGTATTAAGTCATTCAAAACATGTCAAAATCAACCAGCTATAACTCCAAGAAATATGTTGGACCCCAGAAGAAGGAAACCCAACCTGTTCACATCTTCAGGTGTCAGACATCTTCCCATCATGCACCAGTCATCAGAACTCACCTGTGACCAGGAAGGTGCAGCGGCCCGCCCCGGCCTCGTTGGTGATGTCACAGGTGTACTCTCCGTAGCCCTCGCGGTTCAGAGCTTTGACCTGGTAGCTGGTGTCGTCGCGCTGCTCGCTGAACTGTCCCACGGTGAGGAGGCGGGACCCCAGCTTCCACTCGTACCGGAGGAGGCGCGCAGGGTGGGCTCTCAGCAGGCGGCAGGTGAGGCTGAACGCTCGGCCCAGAGCCTGCCGGATCTCTGTGTACTCCGGCTCCACGTTGGGAGGAACTGAGAGAGACAGAGAGACAGGGAATATAAGACCAAACAACAACTTGGTTTGTCAAGACACTGTAGAAACCCCAGAACTATCATCTGATGATATCTGTCGTCACCGGCTTGAGCTTCAATATCAGGATCCATGTATTTATTATGCGCCGGTGAAGATGGCTGCATTGTCCTTTGGCTTCTCTCCAACTTTGCCCTTTTTTGTATTTTTTTAGTGTTTATTTACTTTTTGCCGTTTGCTTTTAACTTGTTCTCAACATGCAAGCCGACCAACTCTGCTGAGAGGAACTTCTTCACACCTGAACTGTTGAAGCAAAATCTGTTAAACACCTGAACTGTTGAAGCAACATCCATAATATTCATCTGGCTGCTACTTAGAAATTATTTATCTATTTACCTAAAATATCATATTCCAATAACTTGGTAACGTACTGTATAGACTCTTATTGCACTATTTCACTTTTTTTAAACTATTTTTCTTTTTGTATTTACTATTTACGTGCACTATATTCTGTTTATCTGTGTTTTGTGTTGCACTGTTGGAGAAGCCTGTGACCTAAGATTTTCATTGGCATAACTACTCTGTAGATATGTTCGTATGACTAAATAAAGAACCTTGAACCTTGAATGAAAGTAGTCATCACATCCAGAGCATCAACTAGTTCCTGAACAGTGTCCTTCACATGCTGATATCCAAGAGAGGGAGTTAGTCACAAGATGGAGGAATAACGGTTCTTCTCGGTAATCATACATCCTGTCGTCTACAAAATACTGACTTTTTCTCAAATTCTAAAAATTCTGACTTTTTTCTCAAAATTCTGACTTTTTTCTCAAAACTCAGACTTTTTTTCTAAATCAAAAAATTCAGACTTTTTCTCAAAATCTCATCATATAGCTATCATATGCCTCAAACAGTCCTGATGCTCTTCTAGGTAATCATACATCCTGTCATGTAAAGTAAAGTGAGTTTTGTTTCTCTACAGTATTTAGTATCAGCGTTTCCAGGGGGGCGTCTTGCCGTCATTTCAGAACGCCCTGAACTCGAGCCGAGGGCGTCCAAAAAAAAAAATAATTCGAGAGAAGATGGAGTTTTTATCGCTTGAAATGACGAAAAGGAAAAAGGACATCCCTCTGTTGGCGGGGCAAAGGAGTCGGTGGGATTCTTTTCGCCGCCAGCAAAGCGTGTTCCTGTGACGGAAAGTGTACTGCCGGCGAGCCTTGACGGGGGGTGCTCGTGGAGCACGCGCGTGAACTGCGAGCGCCGGAGCCTCGCAGCGGCGAAACTGAGGCTCCGTGGTAAACTGTGGTAACATGAAGAGCCGCTTAGGAGCCGAAAGAGCCGACTCTTCTTAGTGAGTCGAACCAAATGATCCGGCTCACTAAGAAGAGCCAGAACTCCCATCACTTATACGTAAAGAGATAGTATCTATAAAGGGACGGCTCAATTCAAAATTCAAGTCACGTGACGTGGCGCCACACCCCCCCCCCTGGACGCCCTCTCAGCCCTGGTCTGGCGGAAACACTGTTTAGTATGCTATCTTATATAAAAGCAGATTCACCAAACTCCTTTCTGGCCTTTCGTCACTGATGGAATATTTGAAGTGAATTAGCTCCAGCAGATATAATCTGCAGCCTTTGATGAGAGTCATCACCTGAATATTTTCTACATTTGCTAATAAGAAAGAGGAGATAAAAAGCTTCACTGGTTGGCCTTGAAGCTCAGTGAATCAAGAGGGTTTCTTTTTATCCGAGTGCTGCATCAGAGCTCAACGATCAGACGTACAGAAGATTTATTTTTAATTGAATGGTAAAAGCTTCAAAAACATCATAGAGCTTCAATAAAGGTGCAACAAAATGAAAGCCCTGTATCTGACAATTTGAGTTACACAGATTGTATTTGAATATTAAAGAGGACATATTAAAAACATGTTCAGGATCACATCAGTATGTAGTGTCTCTACTTTAAAGAGTCCTCTCCTGCTGATGTTCAGGTGTATATCAGTATGTAGTGTCTCTACTTTAAAGAGTCCTCTCCTGCTGATGTTCAGGTGTATATCAGTATGTAGTGTCTCTACTTTAAAGAGTCCTCTCCTGCTGATGTTCAGGTGTATATCAGTATGTAGTGTCTCTACTTTAAAGAGTCCTCTCCTGCTGATGTTCAGGTGTATATCAGTATGTAGTGTCTCTACTTTAAAGAGTCCCCTCCTGCTGATGTTCAGGTGTATATCAGTATGTAGTGTCTCTACTTTAAAGAGTCCCCTCCTGCTGATGTTCAGGTGTATATCAGTATGTAGTGTCTCTACTTTAAAGAGTCCTCTCCTGCTGATGTTCAGGTGTATATCAGTATGTAGTGTCTCTACTTTAAAGAGTCCTCTCCTGCTGATGTTCAGGTGTATATCAGTATGTAGTGTCTCTACTTTAAAGAGTCCCCTCCTGCTGATGTTCAGGTGTATATCAGTATGTAGTGTCTCTACTTTAAAGAGTCCTCTCCTGCTGATGTTCAGGTGTATATCAGTATGTAGTGTCTCTACTTTAAAGAGTCCTCTCCTGCTGATGTTCAGGTGTATATCAGTATGTAGTGTCTCTACTTTAAGAGTCCTCTCCTGCTGATGTTCAGGTGTATATCAGTATGTAGTGTCTCTACTTTAAAGAGTCCTCTCCTGCTGATGTTCAGGTGTATATCAGTATGTAGTGTCTCTACTTTAAAGAGTCCTCTCCTGCTGATGTTCAGGTGTATATCAGTATGTAGTGTCTCTACTTTAAAGAGTCCTCTCCTGCTGATGTTCAGGTGTATATCAGTATGTAGTGTCTCTACTTTAAAGAGTCCTCTCCTGCTGATGTTCAGGTGTATATCAGTATGTAGTGTCTCTACTTTAAAGAGTCCTCTCCTGCTGATGTTCAGGTGTATATCAGTATGTAGTGTCTCTACTTTAAAGAGTCCTCTCCTGCTGATGTTCAGGTGTATATCAGTATGTAGTGTCTCTACTTTAAAGAGTCCTCTCCTGCTGATGTTCAGGTGTATATCAGTATGTAGTGTCTCTACTTTAAAGAGTCCTCTCCTGCTGATGTTCAGGTGTATATCAGTATGTAGTGTCTCTACATGTCTCCATGCTTTAATGTTCAAAAAGCTCTTTATTTCTCTCATACTGCCTGTGCTGCAGCACCTCTTTTCACCCTCTGTCTGAAACCAGAGCCCAGTCTGCTCTGATTGGTCAGCTGGCCGGCTTTGTTGTGATTGGTCAACGTCTTAGATATGTCCCGCCCCTTAGCCTATCACGTACGTAAAGCACTTTTGGAAAATAGGTATATTTAGGTTCTGTTTGAAGTTATTAAGAGAGGTTCAAAAAGTATTTAGGTGATTCAATAATCCAGACAAACCAGGAGTTTGAAATCAAAATAAGTTTGAAATCAAAATAAGTTTGAAATCAAAATAATGCTTAAATGTCTGTATAAAAACAAATCATTAGGTTTCATAACTTTCGATCTGTTGTAACGTGGCTTGTTGAACCAGAACTGACCAGAAAATTCAGTTTTATAATGAATTATATTTTCAGTTTTCAATTTTAGAAAGACTAAACCAGACTAAGTGTCACTGGCTCCTCCCTCTCGCTCACTCTTCCAAAACGCCTGAAAAATTACTTTAAACCTCTTAAGTGTTTGAAATATTTAAAGTCCCAGGCGTCCACCCCGGCGCTCTGCTAAAGGGCACAGAGTCAGAGTGTCTTCCTGAATCCCTTTAGTTCCTCTGAGGATGTGATCCACATTACAGGTGTGACTTCACAGATGAACGTCACGCTGTCAGACAGGGGTCAGCCGAGAGAGAGAGAGAAGCTGCTCTGACCGACCTCTGACCTCAGCAGAGAGAGAGAGAAGCTGCTCTGACCGACCTCTGACCTCAGCAGAGAGAGAGAAGAAGCTGCTCTGACCGACCTCTGACCTCAGCAGAGAGAGAGAAGAAGCTGCTCTGACCGACCTCTGACCTCAGCAGAGAGAGAGAAGAAGCTGCTCTGACCGACCTCTGACCTCAGCCGAGAGAGAGAGAAGCTGCTCTGACCGACCTCTGACCTCAGCAGAGAGAGAGAGAAGCTGCTCTGACCGACCTCTGACCTCAGCAGAGAGAGAGAAGAAGCTGCTCTGACCGACCTCTGACCTCAGCAGAGAGAGAGAAGAAGCTGCTCTGACCGACCTCTGACCTCAGCAGAGAGAGAGAAGAAGCTGCTCTGACCGACCTCTGACCTCAGCAGAGAGAGAGAAGAAGCTGCTCTGACCGACCTCTGACCTCAGCAGAGAGAGAGAGAAGCAGCTCTGACCGACCTCTGACCTCAGCAGAGAGAGAGAAGAAGCTGCAGGCGACCTCTGACCTCAGCAGAGAGAGAGGAGATCACTGCCTTGCTCCAGGGGACAGGGCAGTGATCGCTCCACATGTTTTATTATATTTAGCATTATTTCAGAATGAGCGGTCAGAGCAGGACACCAGCATGGAGTTTAAAATACAGACAGAATTAGAACCCTAAATAGATTCTGAGGTCATTTTATCAAAAAGGGTGTTAATGTGTAAAAAGCCAACTTTTCCAAACGTGATTTACAAAAAAGTCATATATTAATAAATAAACACCTAAATACGCACACACACACACGCACACGCACACGCACACGCACGCACGCACGCACGCACACACACACACACACACACACACACACACACACACACACACACACACACACACACACACACACACACACACACACACACACACACACACACACACACACACACACACACACACACACACACACACACAAAGGTCTTTGCTCATCTCGTCCTCCAGTTATGTGTCAGTGCAGGACTTCTAAAGGTCAGCTGGACGCCTCTGCTCCACTGCGACCTTCACACGAGCTCTCTGATTGGTCAACACAACCGGCTGACCTTGCAGCTCAACTCCCACAATGCACTGCTGAGGCTGAGCTCGTTAATTTGCTCTTTTTGTTTGGTATAGAGTGTG